TTATCAACATGATCATTAGAGGGGTTGATATCCCTTAAGGGCCAATGATAAAGCGTACTAAAGTATATATCACAAGGAAAAAATGCACCTGAGATTATGTCCTAGAGGGAACCATTCATTTAACGACAAAGATGTTGAGGCCATCGTGTAACCACACAATGATGAACTGGTAGTATCCGTACTCATGCACCTGAGATTATGTCCTAGAGGGAACCATTCATTTAACGACAAAGATGTTGAGGCCATCGTGTAACCACACAATGATGAACTGGTAGTATCCGTACTCATGCACCTGAGATTATGTCCTAGAGGGAACCATTCATTTAACGACAAAGATGTTGAGGCCATCGTGTAACCACACAATGATGAACTGGTAGTATCCGTACTCATCAATAAATCTCGAGTTAAACGTGTGTTGATTGATCCAGGTAGCTCGACCAACATCATCAGATCGAGGGTCGTTGAGCAGTTGGGGTTATAGGACCAAATTGTGACGGAAGTTCAGGTGTTGAATGGATTTAACATAGCATGCAAAACCACTAAAAGGGAGATAACCCTACCAGTGAACACCGTCGGGACGTCCAAGAGACGAAGTTCTATGTGATCGAAGGGTACATGAGGTACAACACCCTATTCGGAAGGTCATGGGTTCACAACATGAGGGCGGTAGCCTCAACCTTACACCAAGCACAGAAGTTCCCTATGCCGGGAGGAGTCAAGACAGTCTATGCAGAGCAGCCGGCCATAAAGGAAATGTTCGCTGTCGACGATGTAATTCTGGTGCCCGTGGTTTCGATATTAAGGAATACGGAGCCGACTAGAAAGGAAGAAATTAAATAGCAATAACCTATACTGATCTCGACCGAACTAGAAGAACGAGGAGTAGACGAGGAGGATGATTACGGAGTTATGAGATAGTTCATAGACCCTAATGATATGGACGCCACCAAATTGATGGTCGAGGCGTTGAAGCAAGTCATATTGATCGAAAACCTACCGGATCGAAAGATATACCTGGGCACGAGGTTAACTTTCGAGCTCAGGAAAAAACTCATTAATTTTCTTAAAACTAACATAGACTATTTTGCTTGGTCCCATCTTGACATGACAGGGATCCTACTGGAAGGAACCACTCATAACCTGAGTTTGGTCCCGAAGTTCCATCTGGTTAAGTAGAAGAGGATACCACAGTACGAGGTCAAGCATACATTCATCAAGGACAAGGTATCCAAACTCCTTAAAATAGGGTACATTCGAGAAGTTAAATACCCGGACTAGTTAGCTCACACAGTGGTAGAGTCCAAAAAAGATCTGAATAAGGCATGCCTCACGAATTATTTTCCTTTTCCTAACATCGATCGTATTATCGACGCGATGGCCAAGCATGAGATACTCAAACTTTCTCGATGCCTATTCCAGGCATAACCAAATTCGAACGGACCCAAATTATCAAGAAATGACTTCTTTTATTACTAAATTCGGTACCTACTGTTACAATGTAATGCCATTCAGATTAAAGAACGCTGGTGCCATTTATCAACGCCTAGTAAAGTGGATGTTTGAAGAATAGATAGGAAAATCAATGGAAGTTTATATTGACAATATGTTAGTCAAGTCCCTGCAAGCATAAGACCATTTGAAACATTTGCAGGAAACCTTCGACAGAGAGAAGTGCGTATTTGGGGTTGGATCGGGAAAATTCCTTGGGTTCATGGTATCCAATCGAGGGATCGAGATCAATCCCAGCAAAATCAAAGATATAGAGGACATCACCGTGTTGGACAACCATAAGGTCGTTCAAAGGCTGACCAGGCATATCGCCGCCCTGGGTCGGTTCATATCGAGGTCCTAGGATCGGTTGTTCTCGCTTTTAAAAAAGAAGAATAACTTTTCCTGGACCCCAAAATGCCAGCAAGCTCTGGAAGAACTCAAACGGTACTTATCGAGTCCTCCCCTGCTCCACACTCCGAAGGCGGGCGAATCAGGTATGTCAGTAGAACTCTAGGTGAGGCCGAAATAAGGTATCTTCACTTGGAAAAATTGGAGCTTGCTTTGCTAAGCACCTCCAGAAAGCTAAATCCATACTTTCAATGCTACCCCATATGTGTCGTAACTTCTTAGTCGCTGAGGAACATAATGCACAAACCCAAGCTCTCGGGCTGGTTGGCCAAATGGGTGGCCGAAATAAGCGGGTACAATATCGAGTATCGACCCGGAATCGCCATAAAATCTCAGATTTTGGCAGACTTCGTGGCCGACTTTGCGCCGGCCTTAATACCCGAAGTCGAGAGGGAATTACTCTTGACCTCGGGGACCAGCTCGGGAATCAGGACCCTTTTTATGGATGGTGCCTCGAATGTGAAGGGGTTTGGGCTCGACATCGTATTAAAACCGTCTATAGGAAATGTAATTATACAATATATTAGAACTGTGAAATTGACTAAAAATGAGGCTGAGTATGAGGCCATGATTGCAAGTCACGAATTGGCTAAAAGCCTTAAGGCCAAGGTGATCAAAGCTAAGTGCGATTCCCTCCTCGTGGTAAACCAAGTTAATGGGACATTTAAAGTAAAAGAAGAACGAATGCAAAGGTACTTGGAAAGATTATAGGTAACACTGCATCAATTCAAGGAATGGACCCTATAGCACCTACCCCTGGATCAGAACAACAACATCGATGCTCTGGCTAACTTGGGATCGTTGGTCGATGCCGATAAATTCAGTTCGGGAACAGTAGTGCAGCTCATGAAGTCAGTGATAGAAAAAGGGCATGCCGAAGTAAACACAACAAGTATAACTTGGGACTGGAGGAACAAGTATATAGACTACTTGAAGAATGGAAAATTGCCTTCGGATCCCAAAGAATCGAGAGCCCTGCATACCAAGGCTACCAGATTTAGCTTGGTTGAAGGGGCACCGTTCAGGAGAACCTTCGACGACCCGCTATCCAGATGCTTGGGACTGGGAGAGACCAAATACGCCTTGAGAGAAGTTCATGAAGGCACTTGCAGGAATCATTCGGGGGCAGAATCTTTGGTTCGGAGACTGATTACGACCAACTATTACTGGATCGAGATGGTGAAAATGCAAAATACTTCATACGGAAATGTGACGACTGCCAGAGACATGCCACGATGATCCATCAACCGAGAGAAATGCTCCACTCAGTTTTGTCCCCATAACTATTTATGAAGTACGGAATAGACATTGTCGATCCCCTACCATAGGCTCCTGGTAAAGCTCATTTCATATTATTCATGACCGATTATTTTTTCAAATGGGTTGAGGCTCAGGCATCCGAAAAGGTCCAGGATAATTAAGTCATTAATTTCATCTGGTATCACATAATATGTCGATTTGGGATACCGAGCAACGTCGTTTGCTATAATGGAAAAAAATTCATCGGTGGCAAAGCAAGTAAATTTTTCGAAGATCACAAGATAAAGAAGGTACTATCAACACCTACCCTAGTGGAAAACAAGACCATACTTCAAAACTTATAAAAGAGGTTGACCGGTGTGAAAGTGAAATGGAAGGAGATCTTCCCCGAAGTCCTATGGGTGTACCGTACGACCTCAATATCTAGCACCGGGGCCACCCATTTTCATTGGTCTATGGAGCCGAAGCCTTAATACTAGTTGAGGTGGGAGAACCAAACCTCAGGTTCCAATACATAATAGAAGAGTCAAACGGCAAGGCCATGATTACGAGGCTGGAACAATTGGATGAAAGGCGGGAGGCAACCCTAGTCTGGTTGGTCGCCTAGAAACAGTGAATAGAAAGGTATTACAACCGAAGAGCCAACCTCCGACACTTTCAAGTCTGGGACTTGGTGTTGAGGAAAGTAAGGTTATACACCAGGAACCCTAACGAGAGGAAGTTGGGACCGAACTGGGAAGGACCATATCAAGCTGTCGGAATAACCGACAAAGGCTCGTACAAACTCGAAGTGGGAAATGACATACATTTACCGAACAAATGAAATGTGTCACACTTAAAGCGGTACTACTACTAATGTACGAACTCAATTACTCTTTAATCACGTTATAAGTCGGAATAGCATTTGCAAGTAAACGACCAAGGATGGATGTGAATATTGGGTTTGAAATCACGTGTTGCACTTTTTTCCCCTTGAACTAGTTTTGTTCCAAAATGGATTTTCGGAAAGGTTTTTAACAAGGAAACAATAAAAAGTGCTAACTTAGATTTGAAGACTGGTTTTAAACTATAGTCAATGATCCTTCACTTTGTATCAACAATATCCGAGCCCTCAAAATTTCGACCTCGAATATTGGGGCCATCACCCTCGAATAAGGTTTTTAGCAAGGAAAAAAGAAAACTTTGTATGTTAAAAGCTAAGGCTTGGTGATTAGGATTTGTTGTAAGGGACAAATGGTTGTATGAACCGTGCTCACATAGTCCACGCTAGCCATGACACAAGTTTTTATGCGATTTCGATCATGTATTTACACACTGAGAAATGAAAGAAAGTTCTACTTTGATATTACACATTTTCTACCTCTTCGACTCTGGATCCTAGAGACCACGGGCTACCCCTAATCGGGTACTATTGAGCCCAAGGGTTACCCCTACTCGGGGACTCTCGCCCGAAGAAAATTTGGATGACCCAGGCTACCGAATCTCGGAGGCACCAAACCTATGAGGCGGTGCCCACATATAAAACGCTACGACCGCCCTAAAAATGACTCGGAGATGTCTGAAGCCCGTATCAGGAAAAGTAAGGCCTTTACAAAAATTTAAAACCTACTAAAAAGTTACCCTCGGCAAAAACGTCATCTAAAACACTTAAGCATCTTGGAAACCTCCGGTCTCACCGAGGGTTCGAAGCCACTAGCAAATAAAATGGCATCAAAGTCGGGCTTCGTTCGAACCTTCGAAAAATGAATGCCCTAGAACTACATCCGATTCTATGCAAAGATATCAAAAACAATACACGAATAGAAATTGTAAGAAGATGCTGGAAAAATAAAGACATCGTATTGCCGAAAAGGGAAAAATCTTATATATATTCCAAAAATATATTTACAAAGGCCTGATTGAATGACCTCAAAATAAACCAAAAAATAGAGAGAAAATACATAAGGAAAACAAAAAGCTGAAAAAGTACTAAGGCATCTACGCCTGGTCTTCACCGAGGCCCCACTCGTCGTTGGAACCGTAAGAAACCTCAGATCCCTCAGAGCCCTCGGAGCCTTCGGCACAGTCAGGCTCGTAGAGCTCATTTGACTTGGCTTCAAGCCTCTTTGGTTCTTCGATCTCAGCCGATAGGTAGAAACCTCGTGCATGGATCTCTTCAAAGGTCTCTCTTCGGGAAAATCGCTTCATGTATTCAGTTTTTGTCTTTATGTGGGTCTCGGATGCCTCCACATCAGCCTTATACTAGGCCATCATTTCCTCGGCATCAGCAGAAGTTGTGTCCAATTTGGACCTTAGTGCCGCATGTTCTCTTCCAAGATCATCCTATTTCGCGACGCCGAGCTTAGCTGTGCACATAGAATATCGTTCAGCCGAGACCACTTGTTGGCTTTGTCCTTCTCCACCCGAAGTTGGTAATCGACCGATGCCAGCTCCTCCTTCATAGTTTCCTTCTCCGAGGCCAGTAGGTCCATCCTTCCCTTCCACACTTCGGCCATGGCCTTGATCTCGTCTATCTACGTCCGCAGCTGGGCGATCAGGTCTATCTTCTGTTTGACTTACATAGTTGTGTTGTTAGTAACCACGACTAGCTCCTCATTTTTAGCTTCAAAGACCTTTACCTTATCAAAAAGCCTCATTATGAGCTTTTTCCAGCTCGACCTGAAGCCTTGGGGAGGTCTTTAAGGGCCTCATCTTGTTGCTCACTAAGGAGCCTGTACATATCCTTTTTCCGGACCTTCTCTTTGAGCTTAAACTCGAGTTGGCTGATTTCCAAGCAGTACCGGAGAAAGCTTTCATGGTGAAGCACTGAGACCTGTAAAAAAATGAAAGTACTAAGAGACATCAAAACATAATTGGAATTCATAAAGGGGTATAAAAGTGTTGGCGCCAATTCCTGCTAAGCCTCATTGAAAAGGCTTCACGTGCCCACCTCGTTCATCTTTTTTTGGTCCTCCTCGGTCACCAGGCATCAGAGGTAGATGGCTACACCCACATGAGCAGATAGAACCCGAGCATCCTCCGGAACTATAAGAACTACTATTCTCTTACGCCCGGGTCCACGCTCGGTGCGGGAAATTGCTTCACCAGTTTTGGGCTCGAACTCAACTCGCTAGCTCCCGAGGGCACGCCTTTCTTTGGGATTTCCAGGTGACCCAGCCCGAGAAAATCCTCAAATGTGGACATGTCCATGCTGTCAAAAAAGGGGTTGAGGGGATCATCTGAACCCTGCACTCCCTCACTTGGCTTTTCTTTGCCTGCTTGGGCCTCTTCGAGCATGGACTCGGTGTAGGAGGATGTCTCTATGGTGTCAATGACACAGGTCGCCTCCTTCAGAACATGAGCGGCTTCCTAGGAGGTCTCAGCATGCTCCCCATTGGGGGTCGATCCATGGGCGATAAAGATGTTGTCTTCTTCAGGTTTATCCCTAAGTCGGTAGAGATAGCCAGGGTTCGGTGCCCAGGACTTGGTATTCTTCTTGGGTCTCCAGGCCAGGGTGGCCGCACTCTTTTTCTTCTTTTGCTCCTTCGTGGTAGTCCCGGGCTGTCCCGAGATAGAGGGCTTGGTAGGCAAAGACAGATCCTCATCCTCATCAAGTGGCCTAAGTTCAATGGTCTTAGGCAGACCTGTAAGAAAAAAGGAAAAAGTTAGCGCTATTTAGGTTAAGATCTTGATGGTAACTATTTCAGGGTAGAACCTTACCATGAGAATGGGCCTCCCATTTGCCCTTTGAAAGTTTGCACCATGCGTGCTCGGAGTAAGGTATCTACTTACAGATCCCCTCGATCCACTCCTTGAATCGGGGAATTGCATCTTGAAGTTGGGCAACAGCTGCACGACCACAAACACAAGCGATGAGAAAAAGAAATAAAAAGGAAGAAATACCCAAGAAAGACAATACTTACGGGATACATTCCACTCCTTATGGAACGACAAAAACTCGGGGGAATCAGGTGTTCGGTTTTTACCCGAACGAACCTCCCTGCCAACCTCGATCCCGGTCCTCGTCAATACTCGAGAAAGGAGCCTTGCTTTCTTGGCGGATGAGCTTGATCAGATCCCCTCGGAATATTCGGGGAGTGCACAGGCGGAGTAGGAGGTCAAGGGTGAACCGGGGAGACTCGGTATTGTTACGAAGTGGCGCAAGAGGATTACAATCCTCCAGAAGGATGGGTGGATTTGCCAAAGACGCACCTCGTACCTCTTGCAGAAAGCAAGAACTACGGGATCCACAGGGGCGAGCGTGAAGAGGTAAGTGTAAACACTCAGATATCCCTTCACGTGAGTAGTTGTATCATCATTAGGTCCGGGGACGACCACATCCTTACCCTCCCAATTATAGTCCGCTCGAACTATGGGTAGGGTTTCTTCAGTGACAGAGCATATGTATCTCGATGCTCACTTGCCTCGGTCTTGTTGGCTAGATGCCTTCTCAACCTTGAAGTCATCCCCGATAGAACTGTCACACCCCTTTTTTTTTACAAAACCTCACTAAACCCTCTTAAAAATATATAAAAGGATTTTGTAAAGCTCAAACAAGGGTTTTTCAATTTTGAAAGTGACAAAAGATAATGCTCAAAAGGATTAACTCAGAGTTGCCACCTGACATTTGTTTCGGTGTGTCAGGTCACCGTTTTTAAAAAGATATTCCTTTAAAACACTTTTGACTCCAAAATAAGTCTACACTAGAGATTTGGGTAAGGGGGTTCATTTGACTCGGGGAGAAGGTGTTAGGCACTTTCCAAGTCCCATGAAGGTCACGGTTGCGTACTCGATCTAGTTGGCTTTTAAAATATTCAGTTGAGGTAAAAACACAAAAAAACAAAATAAACACACAAGAGACTATAGGCCGTCCCCACCTAAAACGATAAAAATAAACAAAAGAAAATATTAAAGTTCTATTCTACGCTTCCTCGCGTCATCCAATCTCAGGTCTTCATTTACATGTACTTCGGGGCATATCCCGGATAAAATATATACAAATCCTTTGGGGCATTCTCCAGTTAAATTTAACTAACGGAACGACCTTTCGCCTCAAACCTAACAAAATCCTAAAGCTTGCCTACCCAAGTGATTACGACCTAAGCATTCCTAACGGCTGAATTAATAGAGCAAGTAAAAGAAAACTAAATAAAACAATTTACGTCACTTTCCAGTTCCGATATGCTCTAACCAATGCTCTTTATTTTGGAATGGCATCTTAATATTTGAATTCAATCAACATTCTTCATTTTATATCAAACTAAAGCAAATGAACAGGAGTATGTTAATCTACCATGGAATTCAACAGAGAATTAATAACAAGTAAATTCAACTGACATATCAACTAGCAGAGGCACACAATTAAGGAAATCAAATAGAATCATTCAAACATCCAACCATAAAATAATTGGTAAAATAAAGGCCAATTCATATAGAAGAAACAAGGATGAATGATGAACCTTAAAACTCAAACAGGGAACGGAAAGCAACAACAAAAATTACTCCGCGAACCTCGGCGGCAACCTCGAACTCGAACCGGAATCAACCTCGGATCATCTCGTTGGACCCGAACTCGAATTCAACTCTTGAAAGAAGGTGAGCATGAAAAAGTTCCATTTTAGATATTACAGCAATGAAGATCGACGAAGCTACTCACTTATGAGAACATTCCAAAATCAAAACTCCATAGTTCCTTGATGGTGTAGTAAAACGTAAGCAAAGTTCAGCGTAGTTAATTTTCTTTTTGTCTTCTTTTAGTACTAAAGTCTGAACTACTAGAAGCTTGATTCGTATCCTTCCCAGTGAAACCAAACTCATTCACTCGCTTCTTATCTACTGTTGATGGTTTTTTTTTTTGTTGGATTTGTGAATGACTGTTTTTGGCGTGAAAAAAGAATGAAAGTTCCGGCTGCTTTTTCTGCTTTTTGTTTTGTTTTTTTTTGTTTTTCGATGGTGTATACGTGCTTCGCCGATGGAGCTAGTTGCTGGTGGTTAGCGATGGCCTTCTCCGGAGAGCTTGACTAGGCCGACGATAGTGGGTGAAGATGAAAGAGGATGGGAACGGCTGATGTCTTGGGCGTGAAGAAGAAGCGACTGCTATGAGTTGGGTGTTGCGACGCTGCTGGTCTGTTTGGTTTTTGCTACTGGCGGCGGCGATGGGGCTGTGAGAGATGGCTGCTTTGGTGGTGGTCTTCTAGGGTTTTGTCTCTAATGTTCATGAAGAAGAAGGTCTCCAAAATTGCAAAATAACGGCTGATCTGTCTCAGCTGTCTAGGGTTTTTTATTTATTTATTTTATTAAGAAGAGTCTAGAAGGTCTTCTAGGGTTAGCTTAATAGCTAATAGGTATTGGACTTGGGATTATGGGCTAAGAGATTGGTTTAATTGGGCTACAAGCATGACTAAAAATGTTGGTTTCTTTTCTAAAATAATATAATATAAAATTGTAAAATCATTACTAATTAATCAAAACAAACTATATTATGAAATGAAGCTATTTTGATATTTTCAAGGATTATAGTAAAAATAAAAATGCGTTAAAAATAATATTTTTCTAAAAATACTTAATACCTTAATTAAATAGAGAAAAATGAAACTATTTTTGTATTTTTCAATTTTGTGATAAAAAAATGTAAAAGAATCAAAATTAGTTGAAATAACTATATTAGACCTAAACTAAGTATTTAAATGCTAAAATATATAAAATATTGGGGAGGGTAAAAAATTACATGTCTACAGCTGCCCCTTTTTGATTGGAAATACGAAGTATTTTCAGACAAAGAACGACTAGACAGGTTTTTTGACCCGACCCTTATTTAGAGAGACCAAAAACTAAAAGAAAAGAGAATGTGATCGAGCTCTGGTATTTGAGCTGCCTACATATCCTTGGTTATAAAAGAATCAGGTCACGTGTAGTTCGGAGTGAGAAGAGCAATGGAGTATACCAAGGTGGAGAGCCGAGTGAAGTGCCGTTGAGGTTTCGATCCGCGGTTCCTGCCATTACATCGAAAATAAAAGGGAAATATTACAGCAAAAGTAAAAAAAATACAAGATCCTATCTACGTCTTGTCTTGAATCTTTTGTGAATCTCTACTTGATCTTCAACATGAGACTGAAAAATGGGCTCTGCTCCTGATGCTTCTTGAATTTGCGAATTGGAAGTAACTCTGAAATGAATCCCCTTGTTCTCCAGGTGGGTGCTTGATTGCCAAAACTTGAATTGTATTCCCTTGTGATCTAGGTGGGCACATGATTGCCAAAACTTGAAATGTATTCCCTTGTTCTCCAGGTGGGCGCCTGATTTCCAAAACTTGAATTGTATTCCCTTGTTATCTAGGTGGGCACCTGCTTTAAAAAACTCGAAATGTATTCCCCTGTTCTCCAGGTGGACGCCTGATTTTTAAAACTCGAAATGTATTCCCTTATTCTCCAGGTGGGCGCCTGATTTCCAAACCTTGAATTGTATTCCCTTGTTATCCGGGTGGGAGCCTGATTACCAAAAACTTGAATTGTATTCCGTTGTTATCCAGGTGGACGCTTGATTTCCAAAACTTGAATTGTATTCCTTTGTTATCCAGGTGGGCGCCTGATTGCCAAAAACTTGAGTTGTACTCCCTTGTTATCCAGGTGGGCGCCTGATTTCCAAAACTTGAATTGTATTCCCTTTGTTATCCAGGTGGGCGCCTGATTTTCAAAACTCGAAATGTATTCCCTTGTTCTCCAGGTGGGCGCCTAATTTCCAAAACTTGAATTGTATTCCCTTGTTATCCAGGTGGGCGCCTGATTTCCAAACCTTGAATTGTATTCCCTTGTTATCCGGGTGGGAGCCTGATTACCAAAAACTTGATTTGTATTCCGTTGTTATCCAGGTGGGCGCTTGATTTCCAAAACTTGAATTGTATTCCCTTGTTATCCAGGTGGGCGCCTGCCATTACAACAAAACAGACAAAACAAAAGAAATTTTTCTGCCCCAGTTTGGGATCTGGGCATATTTGTGAGTGTTAATCGGATCATGTTATCTACATAGCTCTAAGAATTTGAAAGCTAAATCCCATTATTCAGGAGGGCCTTGAAAACTTCAAATTAAATTTTATTTAAAAGTGACAACTTTAAATCTAAATTATATTTCCTTACGCTAAAACTTAAAACTAAGTCCTATTATCCAAGAGGGTCTTGAAAACTTAAAACTAAATCCCATTATCCAGGAAGGTCCTGAAAATTTTAAATTAAATCCCATTATACATGAGGGACCTGAAAACTTTTAAAACCTAAATCCCATTATCCAAGAGGGTCTTGAGAATTTTAAAATTAAATCTCATTATCCAAGAGGGTCCTGAAAACTTGAAAACTAAATCCTATTATCCAGGAGGGTCCTGAAAACTTGAAAACTAAATCTCATTATCCAGGAGGGTCCTGAAAACTTGAAAACTAAATCTCATTATCTAGGAGGGTCCTGAAAACTTAAAACTAAATCCCATTATCCAGGAGGGTCCTGAAAGCCGAGAATGAACTTACCTGAGCCATGCTCTCGTCTTGGAGGATTCTGAACAGAATTTCTTGCCCCTGAGCCATGCCTTTTTCATGGGGGGTCCCTGTGGATTAACAAATTTTCTTGCCCCTATTTTAGACGAAAGAAATTTTGTTAATTTGAAAACGTAGTGGTTAGTTTATGGCATCATTGCTGAGTGTCTGCTTCTGCCACTACCAAGATAACTTTGATTTCAACCTGGACGACCTCGACTGTTATTGACTGCCCATTTTCTTTCAACCCTTATCACAAAAAACACCTCTACTCCATTTGTTCCCAATATCCTCTATCTATTGCATTTTGCTC